GTCATACATATTAAGCTAAGATCCAGTCGAACCAGGTTAAGCCTGCCAAATCAGAAAAATAGGCGATAATTGTCAATATACAAATGCAGCTTTTGAAATCTATGCTTTATAGGACATCTAAACTACCTTATAATCAATTCATGTCTACTTTTGCATATGTCAAATTTTCAATATACAAATGCAGCTTTTGAATTTATTTACCTGTTTGTTATCTCTCTTGGGTACTTAAATGGCACATGTACTCTCCTTTTGTTGATTTTTAGGTTTTCAGGAAGGAAGTGGTATATGTTGTTGATATAAGTGCGAGCATGCAAGGGAGGCCACTTGAGAATGTTAAGTCTGCACTACTGGCTGCCCTCTCTAAACTCAGTCCAGCGGATACTTTTAACCTCATAGCCTTCAACGGAAAAAGCTTATTGTTCTCATCATCCATGGAGCCGTCAGGGAAGGAGTCAATTGGAAAAGCAATTCAGTGGATTGACCAAAATTTTGTAGCTGAGGGAGGTACCGACATTTCCCTGCCTCTTAACCAGGTTAGAAATATGACTTTTCTTTACTACAGACTGGTATGATCCTGCTTATTATTTTCCAGAGATAGAGTATTGCTTGGAAAGCAAAATTAAGTAGAAACTTCTATTTTGGTCCTTGTAGACTCAGTGACAAAACGTTTTTTTTTCCTTTTTTTTACTTCTACCTATGTGTAGAAGATACATGTAATAAATTGAGTAATAAGTTCATGTGGATGATGCATCATTATGTTGATTAGCTCTAACTATTTGACCGTTCTATTCCTTCTATTTTCCAATTTTTAGTTGCTCCAGACATGTAGTATTTACTTGATTAAAAAAATGCAGTATTATCTTGATTTCACATTTTTTTGGTGCATTTACCCAAGTCTCATAATCTGTTCTTGCAAATTCATCCAAGTCAGGCAATAGAGATGCTATCGAAAAATGGTGATTCAATTCCTCTTGTTTTTCTAATTACCGATGGGTCTGTTGGAGATGAAAGAGAAATTTGTGAAGCCTTGAGAGGACGGTTGATGAAGAGAGGCTTGAATGCTCCACGAATTTCGACCTTTGGCATTGGTGCGTTTGTTTTTATTTTACGTCTTTAAATGACACTTCTCTCCCATGCTTCAATGGCAATTTTCAATACTATATTTATGTCTCTCAGGTTTATACTGTAATCACTACTTCTTGCAAATGCTTGCTCAAATCGGAAGAGGTTACTACGATGCTGCATATGATTTAGGTGCGCTTAATTTAACAATTATGCATCTTAGTATTTCTGTTTACTACGATGCAATTAAGTGCATGTGGTTTGTAAGAATTTATTTTTCTGCCCAAGTTTCAACAACCTACTCAGAAACTCTCTGATGGTTACTGAACTGTTGTAAAAAAATCCATTCATAGACTTATTTTACATTTGAGTTTCTTACTCTCTATTTAGGATGACACACTTTAAAATGGAAATCACTATGAATGGGAATACTTTCATATTTTCCTCAGCCGATAAAGTTATTAGAGTATTATTTAACTTCTATTTAACACCACATCAGATTGGCAGAAGTTTGAATTGCGAGTTATGATTTTAGTTCTTCACATCAATTTCCATGGTCAGATTCAATCAGTTCTCGGCTGGAAAGACTACTTAATGGCACATCATCGGTTATTCTCGCAGACCTGAAAATCGAAGCTCTGGAAAGTCTTGATTCATTTGAGGTATATACACCTTCAGATTCCTTATTTATTCTGAGGAGAGAAAAGGATGTACAAAGCAGTATAAATAGATAAATATGCCCCATTGTTGCCTTCCAAAATATCACGGATTCACAAAATTTCCACTAAATAATACACTGCTTAATTATTTTTCTTTTCCCATGTTATAGTTATGATATAAAGTGTATAATACGTGCCCCGTACTGCTTATCTGACAGTTCTAATCAATGTTCTTATTGCAGCTATATCCATGTTATCTGCCGGACCTGTTATCTTCGAGACCACTAATTGTCTCTGGCAGATTCATCGGGACCTGCCCTGGTTCTGTTAAAGTTAGAGGCACATTAGCAGATTTGAGCAGTTTTGTGGTCGATGTCAAAGTACAAAAAGCAAAGGATTTCCCTTTGGAAAGAGTAAGGTCTTTCATCTTGTATTCCATACTGAAATGCTAATTTGATTTACTTATGCTGCGGAGAAAGTTATAAGAAAAAGTACTCTGTGTATGTGGTGCTCCAGCTTTACCTGGATTCTGTTCTTGTACACGTTTTCTCTACTATGAGAACAGGTTGATTCTATGAACTGTCTAGCATTCTTATTCCCCGTATTAATCAAACAAATATCACATTTGTATTTTTTTTGGTCTGTGCATGCTTACATGAACCTTGCTGGAAAAGTACAAATCTGCACTCTTCCACAATTAGAACTTATGCTTGTTCCCTTTATGCAGGTTTTTGCTAGGAGACAAATTGAAACAATAACTGCCAATGCCTGGTTTTCCGGAAGCAAGCAACTAGAGGAGATGGTCTGTTCTAATGAATCTTAATTCTTATAGTGCTGCATAAAGAAGTTTCACACAATCACGTGATTGCAAATCCCTGCAACATTAAGAGATTTATATTCGTTATACGCCAGTCCCTTGCACTACTGTTACTTCTACTATTGAAAATCATGATTATTTTTTCTTGATGGTAATTATGCTCACTTAAACTATATATCTGTTTCTAGGTTGCAAAATTGAGCTTGCAAACTGGGGTGCCTTCAGAGTACACCAATTTGGTTTTGGTTGAAAATTTAAAGGAGAAGCAGACGTCTAAATTAGAGACAGTAGACGAGGTATGAGTTTGGTTGGTTTGTCAATGTACTAGGTTAACTGTCTTTAAATTAGAGAAAATCATCTTATGAGGTTTTAACACTATCCATCTTCTGTGATTTATGATTCGCGTGCATCACTTCCTTAAAGTAAAATTTGTGTATTTGTATGCAAAACATGCATACCAAATACACTAGTATATGTAGATAAGTGCATTAAATTACGGCTGATTCATAAAGTATATATTTTGACCTGTATGAGGTAATTATATCTAGACATATACTTGTGTAAAAATAAACTAGCATTCTTGTGCTTGTGGAACTTCAGGAATAGATTTGTTTAAACAACAGTAATGCATTCTTTTAAGCTTACAAGCGGAATTTGTTAATGAAAATAAAAGCTCTCGTATTGATTGATAACCAATGTATATGCAGAAGGCCTCTGATCAGTTGAATGTCAAGAAGATCATATACCTTCGAGCACTCGGTGTTGGTTTTGGTAACTCCAAGGCAACTGCAGACAATCTTCCTGTGGAAGCAGCAGAACCTAAGTTGCATGAAACATCAGAAATGGTATTTGCCGCTGCTTCAAACTTATGTGGCAAACTATGTGACTTTTGCTGTTGCATGTGTTTCATACAGTTCTGCTCTCGGGTTAGTGATCGATGTGCTGTGACGTTAGCACAACTCTGTACAGCGCTTGCATGTTTTGAGTGTATTAGTTTTTGTTGTGAAGTATGTGGAGAATGTGGCTAATATATCAGCAGCTACACAGCCACAGATGTATCAGAAATGTGGTTGGACTGTCACACTACTTGTATGTATAGTTGTATGTATAACTGTGTTTCATTCCAGATGTAGTGAACTGCTTGTAATAGAATTAGAGGAAATAAAAGAGATAAAATATAGAAGCTTGAGAGCACTCACCTTACGAGTCGTTATAATCTCTGTCTATGGACCAGTCCACAGCCGATATATGGATTTAACTTATACACACTGACAACGTAAGTAATTTTTACACCATGTATTATTACCTATTGAATCTATCTACATGTCATAAAAGATAAAACATCACAATACTGAAAATCTTTCTTTTATACCAAATGTCATGTTTTTATCCATGGTGAAATGTGTGAATAGTTCATAATGCAAGTCAACACAGTTTCATGCTTATGTAGTTTTTTTTTTTAATTTAATAAAAATAAATCTCTCATTCACAAACATTGGCTTATTTCTAAATGCAAACGATTAATTTTGGAAAGAAATATCCAATAACTTCTTGTCTAGACAACTAATTAAACCTATATCAACATTTAAATTATACTTTTCCTTATATTCGTAGTACGTTTCAACTAAAGAAAAATGTTTATCACATGAATCTTAATTCAGTCGAACGTTAATAAATTCATTAATTCCATCATCATTTTATTTTTGTACCCTAATATAGAAAAATAACGAATCTTAACACAACACAATAGAAAGCAAGTTAAGATCAAATATTTATTAGTGGCATACAATGTCGTAGTGACCTGGGCAGAGCTACTCTTGTCTAAGGGGTGTTAAGCGACTCCCCTTCATATGAAAATTACGTTATATAAATATGTCAAATTTTGATGATTGCAAAAGTTCTCAATTGACAAGAGTAATTACGTTATGTCATCATTTTATTTTTGTACCCTAATATAGAAAAATAACGAATCTTAACACAGCACAATAGAAAGCAAGTTAAGATAAAAAATCTCTTTGTGGCATACCACACCATTGTGACCTGGGGCAGAGCTACCCTTGTCCGCAATGGCGGAGCCAAAACTTTGACAAAGGGGTGTCAAAATATAAAGAAGTAAAATCGCGTAGAAGTCAAGGAGTGTCAATATGTAATATATATACATAAAAAATATTTTGTCTAACTACACAATGTAATTTTCCGACGAAGGGGTGTCGATCGACACCCCTCAACTTCATGTGGCTCCGCCACTGCTTGTCCGATAGATATTAAGCGAGACCTCTTAAGTAAATAATTACGTTATAGAAATATATCAAATTTTGATGATTGCAAAAGCTCTCCATAATTGGGAAGACAAAAAAATGAAGAAGTAAGAGACCACATAAAGAGATAGTACTATCATATTTCAAGGGGTAAACTAAAAATAAATTTACAAAAGTAGGCCGGGTAGTTCTGAAAATTAAGAATCGGAAAGAGCAGTAGACCGTATGACTCCCCAAAATTTTGGGGATAGGCCGAATTTAGGGTTCCTCCCGATCTGAGCAACCAAAAGTCAACAAATTCCTTTCTTTTCAAACCTCTCTCAGATTTAGGGCTTTGGAGTTTTTCTAATTCTTGATTTAGCGGTAGAATTAGGATTTTAGTTTATATGTTCTCAGTGAAGCGGCGAAGCTTTTGTTAGGGCACTGTAAAGCGAGTAATCGGATCTGCCAATGCAAATTGAATTGAAATCTGAAGAAGTTTCGGTGATTTTTGGGATACCGAAAACGTTAAATTGAAAGCAAATCAATGTCTTGGGCAAGTCCAGAAGATATCTATACCTCCACTTCTCTTGCAAGTTATCTTGACAGTGAGTTTTTCTTCATTTCTTTATAAATTATATGTTAAAGAAAGCTCGATATGTTAAGTACTATTAAAGTTGTCTAGTAGTTTTGGTGTTCAAAATCTAGTCTTACTAAACTTGCAAGGTTCTTTTGGGCTGTTTTGGTATTGGATTGTTTCCTCTTATTTATTTTAATTGAACACAGATGGTTGTCTGTTCGTATCTAGTAATCTCGCGTTGATTCCTGAATTCTGATCATAGTACATTAGTTTAAAACTGAGATGTAATTGATTTTTCGTTTATGGGAAGAGAGAATACCTAGAAGATGTTGGTTGCATTATGAGAAAAAGTTGAACGTGCACATCTTTTTTAGGTTCAAAAGATAAATTCCAGCTTCAATTTGTTTGTCTCGTTTTGACTTGACATGAAGTTTGGAGAAGTAAAAAGATTTTTGAATGTTGTAATCTTTAACTAAAGATACGTAGAATGTACCACAATGCTCTTTAATCTTGTAGTATTAAACATGCCACGTGGAAAACTAGAATTAAGGAGTTGCCAAAAAAGAAAAAAGATACTTTTTGAGATGGGCTAAAAAGGAAATTAAGACAAATAAATTGAAACCAAGGGAGTATATCTTATTTATACCACTGGTAGATTTTCTCCAAAGTGTTGATACAAAAGGAGGAAAAATCAAAGATTTTTAAGCCTTTAATAGTCTAAATTTGAACCTTGTTTTGCTAAGCCAGCTGCAACCATGTTGCCTTCCCTGTAGATGTGCTTAATGGGCGATGTCCGATGTATACTTCATAATGACTAAAGTGCTGATTTTTCACTGATTCATATATTGCAAGGGAAGAGGAGTGCTTCCTTCTTTTAAGGCGGAATAGATCTTTTCTACTGCTGCATGGGTCAAAGAGCCACAAAAGGTTCATCATTGTTTGTGTTTCCTCGTAGTGACAACTCAAAATGAAAGCCGTAATGATAAAAGAAAGTTGCTGTCAAGCCCAAGCCACTTATATATTTGAGTGCTTGAGTACCACTTTTTCTTCTTTTTTCCAGAGAATTAAAGGTGCAGTCAAGCACCCAATTATACAAAGGGCTTGCGCTTGAAAGCCTACCTTATTCAGCAATCAACTTTCTTAGTAAGTCTTGCTGTTATCTTGACATTTGTGCAAATTGTAGAAATACATGGTTCACAATATGTTTTTTTGCACCAAAGGGTGTGATTAGGTCAATGAAGTGTGTGCAGACCTTGGAGGCCAAGGTTAAAAATCCAATAAAAACAAAAAATATTAGGTGATTTTTACCCTTCTATTGAAGTCTCAGTGAGCAACTGAGCATAGTTATCCAATGGTTTACTGTGGGAGGTAGTAGCAAATACCTAGTTGAATAGTTGAGGTGAGAGCAAGCTGGCATGGACACCAACATTATGAAAAAATGAATTTCACCCTTTTTTCCTATGCTCCTGTGTTCTTGTCTTGGCAGCTTAAATGATAGAAACCACGATTATTATAGGTATATGTGGTCCCTATTCCTTCTAGAGGAACCTGTGGTACTACTTATTCTACCGAAGAGGCATGTTCCTGTAAACTGAAGGATTAGTTGTTTCCGGCTCTTGAGCAATTTGTTATTGTGTTACGGTGAGGTTGCCACGGCACCCGGTGCTCGATTAATTTTTTCATATATATATGTATAGGAATTGTAGTGAGTATGATATATAATTAAAGGTTGGCACCCACAATAGCATAGTGACTGCTGATCAGTTGGTCAACTGACAGGGTGCCACACCCAACGTTGTGGTTTGAATCCCCTGGAATGCAATGTCTTTTGGTTTTCTTCTTCTTTCTTTTTTTCTTCCCTTTTTGCCTTTTCCTTTACTTCTCTTCTCTTGTTTCTTTCTTTATTTGTTTCCTTTATAGTTTTTTTTTTGTATTCTAAGTAGCTCGGACTCTTCACTTTTGGTGCCGCCTGTGTCGACACGACATGGGTGTGGGTGTAGGATCTGTGTCTGATTTGGTCAACGGATTTTGGGTACTTTGACCAAAATCGATGGAGAAAGTTTAGACAATTTTAATGATTCCTATGCTCAATACAAAAGCTAAAGGTGAAATTGAAGAAAATACCTTTTATATAGAAATTTTTATGTCACTCATTTTCCTTAATTTCCTTCCGTGATTCTCCTCAAGTTCTCCACATAATATGTCATAATTTAGGTTTTATAACTCTATTTTTAGATATTTTAATTATTTATAGGCGAATCCCCGCACCCATATCCGTACATGGATCCATATCCCCGAAGCTTAAAAGTTAGATCATGAAGGATCCGACCTCTAGATCCGCACCCGTATGGACACCCACACCCGAGTCCGAGCAGCTTAGTAGTTGTATTTACACTATTCCTCCTTTGCAACCCATCAATTAGTTTATTTATCTAAATTATTTCTTCTTTTTTTTTTCTTCAAAATGTCCAAATATTTACTTGGATGTGATTTTATTCTTTTTCCTCTTTTATCCCTTCAAAGTACATTTTATCTATTGAATTTTATACTTCGTTTCTTAATCCTTTAAACGAAAGCAATAGAGCCAAGGGTCGTTTTATGCTAGTTTATTGGCTTCTTTTTGTACTTTATTATTAAGAGTTTTTGATTTAATGTTACCAATTTTTTTTAAAAAAAAATACGAGTTTCTGTTTTTGTTCGCAAATTAATTTCTTTTTTAATATGGATAATTTGTGATTTTTTGTAATGAAAACATTGTCTTTACTTTAAGTTGCTGAGAGATCCCTTATACAAAATGCTTTGGCTCTTTTTTATAGAATTATTTTATAGAATTCGTTAGTTATCATGATTTATGATTTAAGTATCTTATGATTAAGAAGGGGTGCAATTGCCTATTCAAAAACTTTAGTTTTCTTGTTCATATTTTTCTCATTTTGCAGCAGAATTTGATTGAATCAGATAAAATTCATGTTGATTAGATAATTGTATATTTATTTATGTACCAAAAAATTCGTAAATCATCCCATATTAGCTCAAAATGGATTGAATTGGATGAATATACGCCCAAATTCAATATCCATCACCAAGTTTATATTAAATGCAGTGGCACCCGCAACCTTCAAATTCTAGATCCGCCTCTGGTAGAAGCTAATGCAATAATACATGGGGTGCCTGGTACTAAAAGAAATAATTGGGGCACTACTTTTTCTTATATATATGTCCATGTGCTCATAGATTGATAGCAATAACTAAACCTGTTTATTGATTTACTGGATCTATTTCTTGCTTTTCTGGCTTGACTCATTATCCCTCACAGAGAAACTTCTTGTGCTGTTGCGAGATGGGCGAAAGCTTTTAGGAATACTTCGTTCTTTTGACCAATTTGGTAGGTTTCTCCTGTCATTACTTTCCATATCACTGCCGCGGTTAACCACCTGACAAAAATTCCATCTGTTATTTGTAGCTAATGCTGTTCTTGAAAGTGCATGTGAGCGTGCTATTGTTGGTGATCTATATTGTGATATCCCATTAGGTCTTTATATTATACGTGGGGAAAATGTTGTGTTAATTGGTGAACTGGTATGTCTTGATTTCTCTCTCAATACAAAAAGTTCTGTGCTATCCCCATAATTGTATACCCGTTGGCTAATACAATGTTGTAATGATTGGTCAGGACGTGGATAAGGAGGAACTTCCTCCCCATATGACACGTGTTTCAGAAGCTGAGATAAGAAGGGTAAGATCCTGTTATTATTAGTTTCACTCTTCCAGATGCTTAATGGACTTGTTGCAGGTGTATGACTTGTGAAGTTTGGGGTGTGGGGCAACTTATATTGGTGAATATATAGTCGGAAGGAAAAAAAGCTGTAGGTATTTTGCATAGTTTTGGAAATTTAGGGATGAAAAGTTATTTTTTGATAAATGGGGGGTGGGGAGTGGAAAAGATAAAGATGAAGGTATGAAGTTGAAAAAAGGTTAAGCTTTTACATGCCTCTTTATCGATGAAATTAACCCTTTGTCAAAAAGAAAGGATAAGCTTGTACACGAAATACTGTATGTAGCTAGCCTTTTTTCCTTTTGCAACACACAGAAAGAAATTATAAAGCTGAAGGGAAAGAAAAGCTGAAGAAAAAACAGTAATCCTTGTTAATAGAATGTATCTTGTATATAACTTGCATCTTTATGTGTGCATGTTTTCATATGCTTTTTAAAGAGATAACATTTCCATCTTTCTAGTTCATAAATCTATTCTTTCAAGTGCAAAATCATGATTAACTTGTGGCTAACCATTAGTTGATGGTTGACTGATTTATTTAGTCATAGATACGAGAAGATGGTAGTATTAGTTAGTGTAAGACTGGTACACATTATAGAGTTGTGCGTATACATTTCTTATTGAGACTTGTGATTTGTTTCTAATTCATATCACGTATCCATCCATCAGGCACAGAAAGCAGAAAGGGACTCTACAGATCTTAAAGGCTCAATGAGGAAGAGGATGGAATTTCTTGATATGGATTGAGGTTTCCTGTTGTTTACGATAATTCCATGTCTTCTGCAAATATTATCGCAGTTGCTGCGTGGTTTTCCATTTCTCTTGGGATATTCTGTGTTACATTCAAGTGTTCATTGTAACATCTGTTTCTTTTATGATGTTTGAGTAAAGGTTACTGGTATTAGACATGGTGAATGGTGAAACAAGTCTTGAGTTGTTCCATTTCCTTTTTATGCGCTAGTCTTGGAGGAACTGTAGTTTTATGTTAGACGCTGTATATGCTGTGAAATGGGAGTTCTGGTGTATTTGCTTTTTCCGATGTCCTTTTCTTATTTAGGTCAAACTATTTAATCAAGCGCATTGCTCGGATCTTACCCTCTTTATTTTTAGGTATATTTATGGTTTTGGCACGATTTAAATTAATTGGAAAAAAAGGTGCATGTTTGGCCCCGTCTTAATTCAACAACATAGAGTTGTCAAGATGACAAAACTAGTGTTTGACATTAGAAGAAAGTCGAGTTGTTTTAAGTATTACTATCATATTACACAAGGGGAGGTGTGACCACGTGCAAGAAATAGTACCTCTTCTCAGTATATCTCTGCCGTAATGATACCGGAACATTGCCAGCAAGTGCCAAAGTGAAGAAAAAGCAATGAACCGACACAGCACCGACAACGACTTTGTTGATCCATATCATCAATTCAGAGGTATAGTAGTACGTGGAAAAATGGACAAGTGGCAATTGATAATCACTTTAACACCGACAGTGAAAATCTGAAGCGGCTCCGCTGCGTTAGATAAATTCAGGAGGTATAAACTGTATCAGGTACGACGAGTAGATTGATTCTTGATCTTGTTTATAAGATATTATTTGTTATATCAACTCAATCTTTTTTGCATTGTTATTATACAATACAAATATTCAGATTATTTTTCCTTGCGTAATTGATTTAATTTACATATTACTAATTCGTGCCTAAGTAATATTTGTATTATTATTCATTACATAACTTGTCATTCAACAAAAACATATTCTGGAATGGAAGAGGTTGAGCTAGGTGTCTTGTTTCACCTTTTTTTTTTTTAAATAAAAAAATTCTTCACCTCTTCTTTTCTCAATTTTTTCATGCACCTTACTTTTAAGTTACACATGTCAGTTATTCACATCCAACATGTACTCTTATACTTATACTATAATGTTATTTTAATACAGTCACTGGAAAAAAAACAATCCGTTTTAATTAATTTATTTGATTTTAATTTAATATAAAAATTTTAAAATATATATTTTTTAAAATTTTTGTAATTGTAAATCAAAAATATATTAAAATATCCTTTAATCGTATATTTTCTTGTATATTAAGTAGAAAGTTAAATTTTCAAAATTGCCAATAAAATAAAATAAGATAAACTAATTAAAATAAAGAATACTACAACATTTTTACAAAAAGAACTTTCCTTCGTTATCTTTTTTTTTTTCTCTAATCCAATACCCACATTAAATATGGATTAATTCAAGGAAAAATTACTTAAATACACAATACTTCTTTACATATTCTCAATATTTCCCTACTCTTTTATTAAAATACAAAAATTCCTTATTTTCCCCCAATTCAACTTAACGGATACTTTATTAGTTTAAGTATCCGCCCGTTATTAATTAAAGTATCCGCGCTGCTATATTATGCATCGCCCACAACTTAATAATTTAAGTATTCATCCGTTATTAATTAAGTATCTGCGCTGCTATATTATGCATCCGCCCGTTAATTAAGTATCCATGCTACTAACAACTTAATAATTTAAGTATCTCCCGTGATTAATTAAAGTATTCGCGCTGCTATATTAAGTATCCACATTGCTATTATGTATCCGAAAAACACTAAAAAAATGGATTTTTGATAATTAATGAAAGAGTAGGGAAAGAAAGTAATTTCTTTCTTATACTATGTCATTTGCCTAATTTTTACATAATTCAAATTCACATCTAATAAATTAGCCTACATGTTATTATTTTTTTAATATTTGAAATTCAAAATGGAGAAATGATTAAAGCATTTTCACTATTTAAACGTAAGTGAACAATAACAAATCATTTGCTCGACGTACACATTACACAAGCTTACCTCAATTAAACGAATATTTAATAGTGAAACGTAGTCGCCGGTGGGTCCAATCTCGTCACTCCGGTAGTGGATGTTCCTATTGCTGCTACTTCAGCAACAGCAGATCTGCTACTCTCTCACTCACTGAGCTGATCTCTCAATTCGGCAAATGCTATCGTTGAAGTCAATTGGAGCTTCAGGAGTACTATTTCTACTATGGCTATGGCTGTTCCAGACGACTGAAGCTTCAGTGCATGACTACAATGGGGAGAAATTTGTGAGCAAGGGCAATGCATTTGTGGTTCACGGAGGTAGCGAAGGAATTTACTCCTCTGTTCCTAACCTCACTGAATCTCCTTCCTATTCTTCCAACACCGACTCCTTCATTCGGTAATTTTACTCTCTCTCCAGTCAATTGTTTAACTGTTTTTAGGTACGATTTTAGATGAAATATATCGAGATCTGTTGTGAGAATTTGTTAATTATAAATGACGGTATAATTCTATGTGTTTAGGTTAAATTGCGAGGATCAGAATTATTTATTTGTCCTTTTTCAACTTAGATAGTAAAGCTACTAGTGTTGTTCTGCTCCATTGTAGATTTTCGGAGTAGTTTTTGAAAATTTATCTTCAATTATCTGTTTGACCATGAAATTTTATCATATATTGAAAATCTGTTGGTCAAATATTTTCAAGTTCACAAAAAGGGGCTCAGTGCAATTTTTGGGACTTACACTCGCTAATCTTCAATTTTTCCCAAGTAAAATGCATGTCCATACACAACTAAAAGTTCCAAAAATCTAAATTTCACAAATTCAAATTTTCAAGTTTCGGCTTCAAAATCAGTCAAAGGGAGCCTAGTTAGTAGGATTCTCTAAGTTGAAAGTGATCCATCAGCGAATGCCTAATTGTACTGCCACAATTGAAGCTAAATTTTCTTTGATATTCGGCTGTTAAAAACATGGCTAACTCAACCATCAATGTTGCGCTGCTCAATTCGGATTTGTGTAGTTACCTAGTTAGTTAAAAACTCTTAAGTCTAATGTGATCCATTACCAAAAGCCAAAAAAAATTTAGCACTACTATTAAAGCTGTCTTCCTTCAATTTCTGCTGCTAAAAGCAACCATAGTTCAACCATTAAGGTTGAATTATTTTTGTTAATGAGAAGCTTATGTATGAAATCCATAGTTGGGTGAAAGAAGATAAATGAATTTTGCTTTCTCACAATATTAAGTAGTCTGTACTTAGTTTGGGCTGAATAGAGTCAGATGGATTAAGAGGATTCATACAGATGATCCAACTGCTTTGTATTTCGATTAACTTTGTGTTTTTTCTATTTAAAAGTCATGCTACATGGAAATTAATGGGCTTGTTCTTATGCATTTTCTCAGTCATGCCAGACTCTGGAAATGAGTGTTGTCATTCATGTGTTTTCCCAGTTTTATGCGTAAGAGTCTATAAATTTCTGACGTCACATTTTCAACAGGTTTGAAAAGATTGTATTTCGGAGGCCAAAGGAACTCTCAAACTTCAGCTCAGACCCAATTCATGCAATTGTTTTTGAGGTGGATGATCGAGAGTTAATTGGGGGCTCTGCTTACGGTGGCCAAAGAGCTATTTGTTGCACAGCAGATCTTGCAAAACTTGGAGTTTGTACACAAGGGCAAATAATTCACCGCCCATCTGCTAGTAATCCCGGATGGCCTAAAGTTTTTAGTGCCTCATTCAGCACTGATGAAGTTGATGTAGCACTGCAGTCGAGATCAATCCCCATTACAAAAACTGGGATGTATAACGTGTATTTTATTCACTGTGAACCAAATCTTAAGGAAATTACTGTTGAAGGGAAAACCATATGGAAGAATCCTACCGGTTACCTACCTGGTAGAATGGCTCCCCTTATGAACTTCTATGGGTACATGTCTCTTGCATTCGTGTTACTAGGGATCTTTTGGTTTTCGCAGTATGCAAAATTTTGGAGAGAAGTTATCCCTTTACAAAATTGTATTACACTCGTTATAACATTGGGTATGCTTGAAATGGCCTTTTGGTACTTTGACTATGCTGAATTCAATGAAACTGGAGTCAGGCCCACTGGTACCACTGTATGGGCTGTGACCTTTGGTACAGTAAAGCGCACAGTTGCACGTTTGGTCATTCTGATAGTCTCTATGGGCTATGGTGTCGTTAGACCTACTCTGGGTGGTCTCACATCAAAGGTCCTTTTGCTTGGAGGAACATTCTTTTTGGCTTCTGAAGTGCTTGAACTGGTAGAAAATGTTGGTGCTGTCAGTGATTTCTCAGGAAAAGCAAGGTTGTTTTTTGTACTTCCTGTGGCATTCTTGGATGCTTTCTTTATCCTTTGGATATTCACCTCCTTGTCGGCAACTGTGAATAAGCTTCAGGTAAATTGTTGGCTTCTATTAATTACTGTGATTTCATTTGTTTGCGGATTGCTAGTTTGGAGAATGTTTTCGTTTGTTTACTTCTTACTTGCCCCGGGTCTTACTTTCATAGCAGAGATCCTATTACCCTTGTGACTAATAACCTAAGTAGCTCTATTTGTGTTACTTATTATATTAATCATGAAGTTCATTCGGAAGGGTGTACTGGTATCTTTTTGTTGGTTGTAGTGCCTAATTCTTGCAATAAAGGAAGCTTTTTCCTTTCCTTATCTTAGGGGGTTTGGGGCTGGGGTCGATCATGATATGACGTTATTCAGTTATTAGTATAATTCAATTTAGGCTTTAGTGCTAATTCAGTTGCTGGATTTGGGATCTGACAGGCTAGAAGGTTGTTGGCCAAATTAGACATTTATCGCAAGTTCACAAATGCATTGGCTGTCACTGTTATTGTATCTGTTGGATGGACATGCTATGAGGTAATTTACATGATGTGGCTGGTTCTTTCTTTTAGTAACTTCTGTCAAGTATCTTTGTTGCCTGTTCAAAGAATCTGAGTTAATAAAAGGAAGTGGTTATAAGGACCTTATTGTTGACTGGTCTGCTTGATGTGAACATGATTACTCTTGCAGAATGACTTAACACCAAAAAAAGGAACATGTATAATACACCGAATTTGGCCTGCAATCCAATTTTCTGGAGAGGGGACCTAAATTTCCAATAATACGGGAAGCAGAAGCATGATTAGGCCTTTTTAATGTGTCAAGAAATTCCCAATCATTCTGTTATTCATTTTCATATGTTTTAGGCCACG